TCCTGCATTAGAGGTTTAAAGAATGTTATATCTATGTATACACAGCACGTTTAAACTTCAGAAAACATCACTATTATCACATGCAAGAAAATGATGCTGAAGATCATCCAGTATACCAACTGGGAGCTGCCAGAGGTCTGGGCCTGATTCACAAGAGGACTTTAAACAAGAGCTCTCACTGCTTACGTCAAATGGATCTTGGCTGTAAGCAGAGAATACCAGGAAGATACTTGCTTGTGTTTTGCTGACTGTGCCAAGGCCATGGACTGTGCAGATTATTATAAACTGTAGATGGCTGTGAGAAGAACAGGAGTTCCAGAACAGTCCATTGTGCACATGTGGAATTTGTACACAGATGAAGGGGTAGTTGTGAAAATAGCACAAGGAAATCCAGCATGGTTTAACATCAGGAAAGGTGTGTGTCCGGCTTGTGTCCTCTCAGCACTCCTACTAACCTGTATGCTGAGCAAATCACCAGAGAAATTGGATTATATGAAGACGAACATGGCACCATAATTGGAGGAAGGCTTATTTACACCCTGCAAGATGCAGAAGGCATAACCTTACTTGCTAAAAATGAGGAGGACTTGGGACACTTCCTGATGAATATCAAGGATTTTAGCCTTTTATATGGATTCTGACTCAATGTAAAGAACATTAAGATTCTCACAACTGGACCAATTGGTTACATCTTGATAAGCAGAGAAAAGGTTGAAGTTGTCAACGACTTCATTTTATTGGGATGGAGCTACAATCAGTGCTCGTGGAAGCAACAGTCAAGAGTCTTTTCCTCACAAGGCAAAACATGTAGCATTTGATAAATCTATTGCACATGACACCTTTGGAGTATTGAAATGAAAGGGTGTTACTTTAAGAACTACGGTGCGCCTGAGCCAAGCCATGGCATTCTCAACCACCTCATATGTATGCAAATTTCATATTGGGGATTGAATAAGGAAGACTGAAGACAAATCAATGCGCTTGAATTGTGGTGATGGCAGAAAACATCGAAAATACCATGGCCTACCAAAAGGATAAACAATCTGTCTTTTAAGAAGTAAGGTCAGAGTGCTCCTCAGAGACAAGGATGGTAAGGCTTCGTCTTACATGCTGTGGACATGTTATCAGAAGAGACCAGTCCCTGGAGAAGGACATCCTTGGAAAGATAATGGCCCTCCTCGATATGGATTGATACCCTGGCTTCAAAAATGGGCTCAGGTATAGGAACACTTGTGCCACTGGTGCAGGACTGGGCATTGTTTCATTCTGTTCTGCACAGGGTGACTGGGAGTCATTACCGACACAATGGCACCTCCTCAAAATATCACATTTCCAGTGTCTAAATGAAAAGTATTTCAGCCAGTGAAAAGGGGGACAGTGAAATCTTATTGAAGCACGGAAGAGGAGAGCAGTTTTCTCAGACTAGATCTGTACTGTCACCTACGGAAGACCATCGTGGAGTCGCCGCAGTCTGGTGGGGCCCAGCCTTCTTTACACTGGCAACGCAGCTCGTGGTCGCACACCTAGAGGGCAATGACGCGGTTAGTGTCCCCGTCAGGCTTAGCACAGCAAGGGCTCATTTACTAAAAGGGCAGGACAGAAAGATGATCTGCTCTATCTTATTTCATTTATTTACAGAATGGATGATCATGACATGATATGAATATCAGTAACCGATGGATGATAAGAATTTCAAGAGCCAACAGGCTTTTTGAAGGAATAATGTGTTAAATCACACTGTGAAGACTTAACACCGTTAATGCTAATCATTTGATGTTGAAACAATTATTTAGTCTCCTCACAGATGACCAGAAATTATGTAAGACTCAAACAGCTTAACAAATCATTAAAAAACTTACAGCGTGTCCTTTGCATTTAGAAGAGCAATTAGTTGATTTGTAGGCCCTCTCAATATCCACACATTCCGCATTGATGCAAACCTGAAAGTTGGGTGAAAAACAGACAGTTAACATTAATGTCTGATCTGGTTTCAGCTGTGCAAATAGTTGATGGTAGGGTCTTTTGTCCTTATAATTCATTGGTTAAAATTATCGTTCTGGAAGAAATGATAAAGCAAGAGAGCTGACCAGAAGTAGTCAAAGGGTCACTCCATAAGACAATGTATTTCAATGAAATGTGCAGAGACCCAAAGGAACCCAGAAGGACTCTATTGTGTGAGATCACTCTTGCACAAAGTCAAGACAGGGATTTTACATTAAACAACACACTTTTGGTGATTACCAGAGCTGAGCGGGTAAGAGTAAATAAATTACTAACTGGAGGATGGGCACAGATTCATTTCAGTGAAGAAGAAGG